CCCCCCCCCCCCCCCCCCCCCCCAGTCATCCAATTTTTCTTTGGAGTGTAGACTGTTCCTAAATATTGCATTTTTTAGCAACAGATTTGGAAAACCACTCTCTGCTAAATATTTTATTGTTAAAATATTTTAATATATCTTCAAAATGTAATGTTGAAGTTGCTTCCAATTTCCTTTCTTTATTTCATTTTTGATTTACATTGGAATTGGCACAAGGCAATTGATAATATGAACCGATATTGTGTTAAATCAAATACGTTGCTGGAGAGAACAACAATCTCCCCTTCAGAGATACTGCACAATAGAAATTATTCAGACTCCACTGATAATGTTTTTCCAGAATCTGTGGCAGTTATTAATCTCATTGTCAAAGCAAATTAGCTGTGGGGTTGGTAAGAATGCTTTCTGTCTTTTCTGAAAGTTTTCATCTATTTTTTTTTTTTCAACAGAACAACTCACAAAAATGCAATTTACCAACTTGAACAGGCTTCAAAATGTAAGGAAATGCAGGACAATATTTGGTCTTCATCTATCAAGAAGAAAAGGTAGGTGTCTAGTTTTCTTTCTGCTATGTTTGTTTTAAATAGAAGACTAAAGCATCTGCTCACCTTTTGCACATAATTCCCATTGACATTAATGCAAAACCATAAAAGAGCGAACTGAAAATGTGCAACTAGTATTTGGCTGAGTTTTTTTTGTTTCTTTAGCATTCACTGGTTTTATTCTTGATATACAATTGTTGTTTTCTTTAATTTAGAGCAAGAAAGCTGCTCATTCAACAGCTGAGAATGATAAGGGAGACTTCTATTTCTTCAATCTAGGGCCTTTTTAAAAAAACCTCGATACTCTGAGAAGCACATTTTTTCTTCAGAATTTCCTTTCTGATTAGTTCACATTCTTACTAAGCAATGTACAAATCCACAATAAGTAGATTTTCTTCAGAAAAGGTCTAGAAATGACCTAGTATAAAAACGAAATTGTCTCTTAGTGACTGAAATATTGCCTGCGGGAGATCTGTTGTTCCATTGCATAGACAGAAATGATGGTGAAAACACAAGCAACTCCTCTACATTACAGCTTTCATTATGGGCTGTCACAGGTGAAATTGCAGCAGTGCAGGAAAAAAATCTATATATTTTCTAGTGTAGACACTGTAGGCAGAATATAGACTCTGACATCAACTTGGCTCAGGTTCCTGGCCCCCTCTGCCTCTCTCTATGCAGGAAATGGAGAAGTAGTCTATTTAATATGCATATCCCAGCTCTCCACTTCTCATACTATGAAAGCACACACTTAAATATCTGCAAGATCATGGCCATGGCCTCTTATTTGTACATGGGGGACAAATGATATGAATATGTAAATTAGATAAAATAATAATAAATGATTAATCTTTGCACAAAGGCCAGGCAACCAATCAGTTTTAAAACTTTTTTTTCTCTGCCCCACACTCTCCTTGTCCAAACTTTGACGCTGCTTTTTCCAGTTTTTTAATCTCTTTTAATTCTTTATAAAATGGCTTCTTCTAAGTTTTATGTGTGTTGGGGGTGTTTTTCCTTCTAACACTCCTGCAAGACTTCTTTCCCTTCTTCTGGTTGTACCTTTTATCGCCTATCTATCTTAAATTTTAGGGTTTTCTCTGTTTGTTCAGCCTTTCCTCTACCCTTCTTTTTCGTTGTTCCAGTCCCCTGCACTTAGTGAAATGGAGGGAAAAGCGAACCCATTCCTGTTGCTGCACTGACTCTCTCGACTCTTTAGTCACTACTCCTTATTTGTTGTTGTTCTCCTCCAAATTGCACTCCTTTCTGTTTCTTCCCACTGGTATGCCACGTCTCTTCACCCCTTGGTGGATGGAGAAGCACTGTAGCGTCAGTACTGCCTCCTCTTCTAGCTGGTAATCAGAAGGGAGAGTGGCAAAGCCCTGGTTAAATAGATGCAGTTGACCTAGCAAGTATTCTTTCTGGAGATTTTTTTTTTTTTTCTGCCTGTCTACATGCTTCAGAATCTTCTTCTGTTCATAGTGTCTGGTCACTAACCCTAACGATTGAATGTTTTCTTCAGAAAGTCAGTTGGATGTAAACCAATACAGTGTCATTAGGCCCTGCCTGCAGTCGTCAGAACACGATAGCACCAAGACTGCTATAAGTAGACCTTATTACTCACCACATGTGTGTTCACTCTGAAACCTAAGAAATCAGTGCTTCTTGTGGAAATACTATGCTGCTCCTGTTTGGGCAAAAACTTTTGCGCAAAAGGGCCAGTATAGACAGCTCAGATTTTTTTTGCACAAAAAAGCCCGGATCGCGAAAATGGCGATGGAGGCTTTTTTTGCGCAAAAGCACATCTAGATTGGCATGGACGCTTTTCCGCAAAAAGTGCTTTTGCGGAAAAGCGTCTGTGCCAATCTAGACACTCTTTTCCCCAAATGCTTTTAATGGTAAACTTTTCCATTTAAAAGCATTTGCGGAAAATCATGCCAGTCTAGACGTAGCCTCAAGGTATGTCTACACAACAAAGTTATTTCAGAATAATGGCTATTATTCCAAAATAACTATGCAAGTGTCTACACAGCAATAGTCTTATTTTGAAATAATAACAAAATAATGGGCAGCTTATTCCAAAATCTGTAAACCTCATTCTGTGAGGAATAACACGTGTTCCAAAATAGTTATTTTGAAATAGGGGCTGTGTAGACAGGGCAGCTGCAGTTATTTTAAAATAAGCAGCCTCCTGCCCTTCCTAAGGTGCTGGCTGCTCTGTCCACACTCAGCCAAACTCTATATTCCCGACCTGCCCCCCTCCCCTGGAGCCCTTAAAGCTGCAGCCTCAGGAGAAAAGGCTTGTAGCAAGCAGGAGGCCCTGACAGCCCTGAGCCACCCTGCATCTGTCACTGCCTCAATTTGACAAAATAAGTGACTTTGTTGCTCCCACCCAGTCCTCCACTGCTCCCAGGGAACCATGAGACAACTCCCAGGAATCTGTCCAGGGCCAAGAGGCATGCGCCTTCCTGGTCTGGTGCAGAGATCCTGAACCTCACTGAGGTCTGGGGAGAGGAGGCGAACCTCCAGGATCTCTGCACCACACCCAGCAATGCAGACATCTATGGCCAGGTGGCTGAGATCCTGGCCAACAAAGGATCTATCTGCACCCAGGTGCAGATGAAGGTTAAAGAGCTCTGCCAGGCATATGCCAGGGCCAGGGAGGGCAGCTCCTGCTTTGGGGCAGAACCCTACACCTTCCCTTACTTCAAGGATCTGGACCACGTCCTGGGGGGGTGGGCCAAATCCCTTCACCCCTCCTGGTTATGGACTTGGGGCTCGAAATGCCCTTCGTCAACCTCACGGGGGATAGAGAAGAGGAGGAGGTGGAGGAGGAGCCGGACAAAGCCAGCACAATCACCCTCCTGACCCTGGAGACAGTACCCCTCGCTGTGGACGTGTCCGAGGCTGAGAAAGGAATGTCATGTGAGTGCCATCACCTTCCCTTCATGCAGGGGGTGGAGGCGGTGAGTAGCAAGTGGTAGCTGGCCACTCCTCGCTCAGCCCTTGCTGCACAATACCCTGGACCGCAGCCTGTGCATGTGGGAGCACGTGCTGCATTGCTTCTGGCCATACAGCACCAGGAGGCTGCACCAGAGGATCTTTGTGTTATTGGCCACAGGGTGTCTGGAGAGGCCTGCCATACTCATGGACCCCAGGGTGGGACACCCTCCCTCCACCAGCCACCTCTAGGAGGAGGCTGGGGACATAGAGTACACACACTCTCTCTCAGCAGTCTGGCATATGGGCATTCCCATGCTCTTGGGGCTGCATCTACTCCCAGGGACAGTGCAGCGAGGTGCAGAAGCATCTGCTGCTCTTGCACACCTCCCTCCCCCCGCACCCTTCCCCCTTGCCCTGAAGCAGTTAGGGATACAAGTCCTCTCCCTGGGGACGCCACCAATACGTGTGGCATGGAGGGAAGCCCAGCCTCCCTGAGGCCCCCCTCCTGCCCACAAGCTCCCAGTGTGGCTGGAACCTTCACATGCCTGCTTGTCCCTGGGATGTAGGGATGAAGAGGCTCCTCTCTTCTTCCCCTTCCCCCACCCCTGGGGTCATCAAGGTCCCTGTAGGAATGGGCCCACTGTCTGGAGTACACGTGGCCTTTCTCCAAGAACATTGCCTTTGCCAGAGCTGAGAACTGTTGTGCTCTGCTCACAGATGACCCCTTTCTTTTCATTCTCCATAGCCGGACCAGCTGCAAGAAGTGGGGTGGTCGACACCACTCAGAACAAGCTCCCAAACCCAAGGGACCCGCAGGCACCAGAGACCCACGGGCTTCTTCCAGAGGGAGCACCTCGCAGTATTCCGATCCCTGGAGTAGACCATCAACCGCAGGCTCCAGGATGACATCCAGCTATGGCGAGACACCGGGTGGGAGCTGCTGGAGCAGGGTTGCACCATGTGCATGGCCGTGCAGTCCCTCATTGCCAGCATGATGCCTGCTCCTGCTCTCACTGTGGCTCCTGTTCCTGCTCCTGGCTCCTCCTGCTTCTCCCCTGACACCCACCCTTTCCCATGGCCTTTGCATCCTGGGTGGTGTGATCATCACCACTCCCAGCCCCATCCCTGAGTCTCTCCTCACTCCTCATGCCCATCCCTCCTCCCCTCTCCCAGGTTCTTTCCCCAGTCCCTTCCCAGTTATTTTGACCCCAAATAAAAAGAAACTGTTTTTATCTTTTCCAAAACAAACTTTTTTTTATTGTCTCAGCAGGGACGGGGTGGGAGGGTTGTTGGAGGAAAGGCAGTGAGGGGAGATGCACAGTCCCCAGTGGGGAGGCCCTGGGGAGAGTGTCACTGGGGCCCCTATGAGTAACTCTCAGGGCCTCCTGGATGTGCGTGGGACGGGGTGGGAGGGTTGTTGGAGGAAAGGCAGTGAGGGGAGATGCACAGTCCCCAGTGGGGAGGCCCTGGGGAGAGTGTCACTGGGGCCCCTATGAGTAACTCTCAGGGCCTCCTGGATGTGCGTGGCCCCCTGATGGGCCTGCCGGATGGCAGTCATGCATGGCTGCTCAAAGGCCCTGCCCATGCAGTCAGTCTCTGCCGCATTCCTGGCAGAAATGCCTCACCCTTATGCTCAAAAATATTGTGGAGCACACATGATGCAGCCACCATGTTGCACCCCCCAAGGTACCGCCAGGTGATGAGGCATCTGAACCGCGCCTTCAAATGCTGGAAGGCACCTTCCAGCAGCTTACGGGCCCTGCTGATCCTGGCATCGTAGCATTCCCAAGAGTGGTTGAGGTGGCTGGCGTATGGCTTCATGAGCCCAGGCACAAGAGATTAGGCTGCATCCCCCAGCATGCAGATGGGCATGTCCACATCCTTGACCCTCGTGGTGTATTTGGGGAGAAAAAAGTTCAGGCTTGCTGCTTCTGGAAGATGCTCAAATTGTGGAAGACACAGGCGTCGGGTGCCTTCCCCAGCCACCTGACATAGATGTCGGTGAACTGGCCCTGGTGGTCCATGGTGGCCTTCAGGACCGTTGAGATGTATCCCCAGGTTGATGAACAGAGATGCCCAGTGGTCAGGGTTCCATGACGACTCGGTCCCACCAGTCTGCACTGGCAGTGCACAGTATGAAGGGAAGGGTGGGCGGGATCCAGCTGCATGAACCATGCCCGCAGAGATCCAAGGAGGGTCTCCCAGAGAAGCTGGGGTTTGGGTTCCTGTAAGGCCTGGGCTGCAGTCTGCAGAAACTGCTGTATGAGTTGCAGCAGAAGCTGCAATAGCCATAGACTGCCCAGAGGTAGATCCATCTCCATGGCTGGCAAGCTGTGACAAGGGCAACCACAGCAGGCAGAAGAAAAGGCGTTGCTGTCCCTTGAGGAGGTAGGCAAAGGAAAAAAGCCTGAGACACAGCTGTATAAGGGGTTTCTTTTAAGCAAGAGCCTCAGATAATTCGTGTGGCCACTGCTTGAGGCTAACTGCTGGCCTGATGCCCTGCCTGAAATGGTTCTGGGTGGCCTTAAATGTGAGTTAGCATCCAATCAGTGTGGATGCGCTATTTGCCATTTCAATGCACATTTGGTGTGTAGATGTGATATTTCAAAATAAGCTGCTTTGGAAGATTTCTTCTGAAATTGTACATTTATTCTGAAATAAGCAGTGTTGATGTAGCCTCAGGAAAAAAAAGAGGGATGATTGAATGACAAAGGTCTGGACAACCTGGTGACTTCTTTCAGCGTTTCAAGTTTTTGGGGCTTTATTTATAGACAAAGCTTGGAAGAATGTCTCCTCCCCTCTATTTTATCACTGTGGCTGAGGAGAGAAGAACAGGGTAGATTGGGGGTGGCAGATAATAAAAGGGGGATCTGGGTTTGTGGAACAGGAAACTACATGGCTCTGTAAATTCTGCAACTCAATTTCCATAGCTGGGTGCCCTTTGAATCTACCTCTGATTGGCAAGGAGTATGTGTAACCAGTGATTGTCCTGCCATTCCAGATTGCCTTCAGCAATGTATAGGACACTTCAACCCCCTGAGCTGATGGATACCAGGATAAATTAGCTAGTTTAATATTGGCCCAAAGACTTTGAAAATAAAAAACCCTATTTACGTATTATTATACCAAGCATGCCTTGGTGGCGATGAATAGCCCGAGGAGCTGGGTTCGCTTGCAGATTTCCATCTTTATTCTAGAGCAAGCCCTGATGGCACTTCCTTAGGTTTAAAAAAATGATGGTTCTTTTGGCAGCTTTGTAATATCGAAATGCATGAGGCAGCCTTCCCTTGTCTTGCATTTCCCTCAGCGTCTTCCCTTTTTGTATTTCTTTCCCACAAGTTTTCACAGCCTCTCATTAGCATTCCCTTGGATTCCCTCCATTTGAGGATCAAGTCCTTGTGGCCACTTTAACACGTAATGCTCAGATAGGCTTTCTGACTGACGGCAAAGTTTTCCAGGCTGTAAAACCAGCAATAGAAAATCCAAGAGCTTCATGTTTAGTCTTTAAAAAAGACAAGCAAAAAAACAACCAACCAATCAAGCTATTTGAATATTGCCTGTTTTCAGAGAGGCTTTTGCAACTGAAAACAAAGCATGAAAAACAATGCAGGCAAAATTATGTCTGCATCGTGACAACGTAGGTTTCTTTAGGTCCTGCCATGCAGGCATCTATGAATCTGACCAACATTTTAGTGATGGTACAGTACTGGTAGTTGGCAAAGGAAAGCTGTAGCAATCTATGGCTGCATATGTAGATACAAAGTCTACTAAACTGCACCTACGGGATGGGGTTTTTAACAACAGGTCTCCATTTACCTTGTATTCCTTCTGTAAATCATCCAGTAGAGGGTGAGATTATACATATTGGAGCAGGGCGGATCCCATCCAGCAGAAGGAAGTAGTAACACAGCCAGAGTGCACGTTGCAGGGTGTGTTTTTCTGTATAAAAACACACAAGATACAGTTAAGAAGTGTTTGCCATTTTATACGGACAGCTAATGCACATGGGGTGGGGGGTGTTAAAATGATACAATACAAATGTATTTATAGGACAGGGTTGTCTGCAACAGCAGAGTGCTGGACTTTGTACCCAGGAGTTCCTTCCCAGTCCTTTGTTAAGCCCTTCAGTAGGTGCTAGAACTAGCATTGTGATGACCACTCTGATTTTTCTCATCATGCCTAATGTCTCTCTGAAGCTCTCAGATATTGTCAGTCCAGGATATTTCTTCCCAAGTTGACAATAAGTTCTCTTTTTTTTCACTGAAGACTGTGATCTTCATCTAATGGGTATCCTGGGGCAAGAATTTGCTTTCAGAATCTCACAGGTTTCTCCCTACACAGTAATGTTGCTCAAAGTAATTTTTTCTGTCATATTTGTAGTGTTTTCCTTAATATACAATTTCTCCTTAGGTCACAGTCTCCTAAATAAAGTTATTTATTGATAGATTTCATCACTAAAAACAAAACAAAAACCAAAAGCTAGAATACAGAGTTTCCACACAAACATTTATCTTTTTATTACCTTATAAGCAACATAATATATCATTAGATATGATTGCAGTACTTTTTATGCAACTGATCATTTCCTAAAATCAGCTATGTAATAATGATCGGCTTCCTCAGATGTTGTTAATAAGCTGGGGCTCTGGTAAACCTGATATCATGTTTCATTACACTTAAATGTGTATTTAAAGATCATGTGTACCACAATATGTACATTTGAAGACCTTATCTAATGAAGTCAAACCTCAGTGGATCTTTGGATTGGGTCCTAGTTGATTGCATTTTCTTTTTCCATTTGCAAATGGGTAGTAATTAGAAATCTGCCAAACCTGACCAGAAAGTTAATATGCCATACTAAGCAACTTCTGATTATTCTTCAAGTAAATAAAAGGAAAGATGCAATTTTCATAAACATATAAAAACTATGGCACTGCCCTCTGTTGTTCTAAAAATAATCATTTCTACTCAACAAATACTGGGCACAGGTTTTCTGAAGATACAAGTCATGTAAAATTAGTAATTACATTAAAAACTCTCCCCATAAAACCATAAATCAGATTTGTTTGTAGGGAATAAATACACACACCTCCATTACATTCCAGGTACATAAAAGCACAAGAGTAATCTGGACTAGCAGAGAATCCATAACAGAAATTTATCTTTTCTTTTGATAAAATGTTCTGTAAAAGATTCCTTACATTACGAAAAAGCTCTGGTTCCATTTGTTCTGGTAGTGTAGATTTCTGTGTTTTATACAATGCAGATTTGATTTTTTTTAACTGAGATGTTTTTACAAACAAACTTTCATTTTTAAATATTGATAGTCTTGGATGGTAAAATTTATCTTCTTGGAAGAAACCATGAAGTAAATAAATGAGTAAGAGATGAATTACAACTTCTACTTCTTAGTTTGCAACAGCTATGTCTCAAAATATTAAAGTTTAAAGTATTGAATATAAGACAAAAGAGGTTTTCTGGCATAATATGGAGATTTAGATATTAATTTGGACTCTTGATCATTTTGTGCATTTTGATCAGTAAAATGATTGTTTTTGATTGATCCAATGAACCTCAAATATGCAAGTTCAAAACTTGTAGCTGTATTGAAAAATTCTGAGAATAGAAGTTCAATAGTATATTAAAGAAATGAAAGAAGATGGCCACAATACTTTAAATCAGGATGGCAGTATTACAATATATAGATGTAAAATGGTCATGGAAATTCACAAAGGGGTTTATTTGATTTAACATGTTATTAATACATAGTATTGAATGTTTTAGAAATGTTGTGTTTATAACCGTCTCTAAATACACATTGTATATATTCTAGTTTCTAATACTTTTTTTAGGTATTCTGAAGATTATTACCTTCAAATAGTGACAAAAATACAGAACTGCACTTGGAAAAGAAGACCAGGAGAATTTACAAAATTTAGGTAATTAATTTTATTAATTAAATAAAACAATCTGTTGAGGGTTTGCTTTATAAATTTGTAGTGAAGCTCCTCCCAAGGAAATTATACCCAATAAACCAGTGTCTCTAGAACATGATTGTAAGATTCTGTTATCTCTCTGAAGCTAGGCCTGTTTTTATTTCTGCATATTCTATAGTACTGTGTACATTCAAAGAGCTAAACAAACTTAGTTTTCCCAATTTCCTCTACATTTTGGGAGTGAACAGTTGAATAATTTACTAAAATTAGCCAAATAAAGAATTCCCAGATCCAGAAAGAAAATTGACAATTTTACATGATAAATGATAGCGTAGTTGTGTCTATTAAAACATCTCTAGTGTGCTTGCTACTCTGCTATCTGAGAGGCTTTGTAAATATGCAATATATCTCTAAATTCAAGGTTCTAGACCATTACTTATGTTTTTTATTGTAGAAATGCTTGGAGGCCCCTATGAAGGCTGGTGCTAGTGTAACCGCCATCAGACGGATTTGAATTCGGACCTCTGGAGCTGAGTGTGGGAGCCTCTACTCTCTGAGCTAAAAGCCAGCTGGCTCCCAGGCCATGCTGTAGAGGTCTCTTGATTTTAACCGCTGCTGTGGTCTAGGTACCATTTGCATTGCTCAGTAACCACACTAGGGCTATGTCTACACTGATGCGATCTTGCACCAGAGCTATGCAAATGAGGCTAAGCATGGAATATCGCTGAACCTTATTTGCATATCTAATGAGCTGCCATTTTTGCGGACGAGGCTCTTGCGCAAGAAGGAGCTGTCTACACTGCCCCTTCTTGCACAAGAAAACCCTTTTGTGCAATGCCGTTATTCCTGAAAATAATCAGCGTAACAGTGTATCCCACCAGTTCTGAAGCAGTAGTCATTACAGTGAATTAGCCTACACTCATCCGGTCAAATAGCCACAGATTAGTGGCTAGCCTGTTGGACATCATAGTTCTATCGAATCACCTTGTTACAGCATAGGAGGAGTCTGTGAACATCTTCATTGTTGCTCTTTCAGCAGTCTGTGAACATCTTCATTGTTGCTCTAGCAGCCAGGAGCGGCCCGAGGCCAGCTGCGGCAGCTGGCACCCCAGGCAGAAGGTGCGATCGGTGCCCCCGCCTGTACAGCCATCAATATCCGTGACATCATCATCAGGCAGCCGGGCAGCAGTGCCCTAGGCAACTGCCTAGTCTGCCTAGGCTCACAAGCTGCCCCTACTAGCAACATATACTTCCACAGTTATAATTTGTTTTTTTCTTGATCAGAAGTATGCATAATGAGCAGCAAAAGCTCTCAAGTTTTGTCATATTTCCAAAGTTCAGGGCAGATGTATTCAGAGAGGCAAACTGCGTGATGCACTTGCCTTCTAGGAAACTTAAGGTAATTAGATGGCCTTCTACCCCATTTATAGGTTTGTTTGAAATTTGAGGCTGTTGACTTCTACAGTAAAAGTTATTCCTAAAATTTTAGGAAATATAGAATAATAAGAAATCCTCCTCCCCTATCTATCCAAATATGTTTAATTTACACATAGTATACACACACACAATAAAATGTGATCACTGATGTGTAAGTTAACTCTGGTGGTTGGATGATTAACATTCATGGGGTATATGTGTTCCAGTAACTTGTATCTCAATCTCCTCTGCTTCCCATTCTTTTCAAGAAGCAGGATATTAAAATTTTATAGATATCCTGCTCTTCCAGCACGTCAGAATCTTGCAGAAGGTCTGATCTCTGAGCACATCAGAGGAAATATGCTTTCCTTGAAGATTCGGTACATTGCTTCCTAACTTAATCTGTGCACCTTAGGAACTCACCACACTTTGGTATGTTTATCAATCATTGAGCAAGAGAATTGGAACTAGAATAGTAGCTTAGAAATGATGATGTACTGGCAGAGTTGTGTGGGGAACAGATCTGGAAGAAACTGTGACATTTTCTGAGCAGGGAGGGGGAGGGAATAGCACCACATTGTGCAATGTTTCACAGGAAGGGAGCTGCATTCTGGTATTTAGACTTCGCAGAATTGTGGGAGAATGGCAATTTTTCATGCTGATGAATATGAAAAGTCAAAGTGCTGCTTTTACTTATAAATTCATGTGTTTTTATTTCTACCATTAAATTGGTATTTCTATTTGTCCATGTGTTCCTGCTTTATAGGCTACTAGTAGGGATGTTAAATTTCGATTAATCAGCTAATTGAGTAGTTGATGGACTTTCCATCAACTACTCAATTAGTCGATCAGGGGTAGGGCAGGGAACTCATTGTCTCGGCTGCGCCTCTGCCTTTAAATGTAGTAAGTGCCCTGCGGGGGCTCTTGCTACAGTTCAAAGGCAGAGGCGCATCAGTTGTACCAGCGCAAGCGGAGACTGCTTTAGTCCCCGCTTGTGCCGTTTCCCGATGTCCCACTGCCCCAGGGCATTGTATGACCATGAATCATTTGTTAATGGCAAATGCAACTTTGCTCTTTTCCATGAGGGTATGTCTACACTACCACCCTAGTTTGAACTAGGGTGGTAATGTAGGCAACCGGAGTTGCAAATGAAGCCCGGGATTTGAATTTCCCGGGCTTCATTTGCATAAAGCCGGGCGCCGCCATTTTTAAATGTCCGCTAGTGGGGACTACGTGCCGTGCGGCTACACTAGGAAGCCTAGTCCGAACTACCTAGTCCGTGGCGCGTATAACCGCGCGGCACAGAGTCTGCACTAGCGGACATTTAAAAATAGCGGCGCCCGGCTTTATGCAAATGAAGCCCGGGAAATTCAAATCCCGGGCTTCATTTGCAACTCCGGTTGCCTACATTACCACCCTAGTTCGCACTAGGGTGGTAGTGTAGACATACCCTTACATTCCTAACCACTAGAGGATTTACATTTCTAACTACTAGAGGATTTACCTGGCATTGCTCAGGTCCTTAACTGAAATAAGTTTTGTTTTTCTTCATTTAAATAATTGCTTTGGGTGGGGCTGTGGATGAAGGATACAGGTTGTCCCAGGGTGAAAGGACAACCCCAGCCCTCTCGCACTGCAGCAGCTTGAAGCCAGGTGAGACACAAGTGTCCACAGCTGCTGCAGCTGCTGCGGGCATAGCTGGAGGAGGGGTGCATGTCCCCTGGCTGGGAGACAGACCGACATACAAACAGCTACCTCTCTGAAATATATGGTCAGCCACCTACTCTTTCTCCACCCCCGTCTCCTGCTGACCCAATGAGATTATAGTTCTGCCTCATTATGAACTAGGTAAATATAATCCCACCCATGTCACAGATGATGAAACTGAGCTCTGAGAAATGATGTGACCTGAATCAGGTCATGCAGCTACTTACTGTCAAGAGGAGGATTAAAACGGCCATTCACATGCCTAATCCACTAGGGTGCTTCAATGGCTAGACCATAGTATCTGCAGACAAACTACTTCCCTTTGCTCTGTCTGTGCTTGCCCATCTGTAAAAAAGAGAATAGCACTTAACTACCTCATAGGCATGGTAGGTATAGTTGAACAATATCATCGTGTTCCTCCCTGCAGCTTTGAAGAACAGAATAGATACAATAAAATAATTTTTACAAGAAATGCAAAGCCTCATGTTGCAGGGCACAGAAAAATCCTGAATTAATAAGATTTGAATAAAAGATTTGCATAGGCTCTGAGATGAAGCATCTAATACTGACCACTCTCAGAGACTGGTACTAGAGTAGATAAATCACTTCTCAATTCTAGTATGTCCATTCATACGTTACTAAAACAGCCCCGCCTAGTGTTGAGCAAACATCTCTCCTAGTATTATAGCTCTGCTTCATTCTGCAGATGACTCCAGTCTAGCAAACCCAAAGGCAAACAAGGGAGTCGGATGTGGGTTAGTACAAGGAACAGCAATGAATTGAAAGGAGAAATACTTACTTAAGTGTTTAGCTAAAAGGTAACAGCTGAAAATTCTATGCTGTGCAAACCCCAATGGCCCACTGCAGACAAATCTGAGCATAGGGTCGAAGCTGGCTATTTACTATCTGCCTCAGCTTGATCTTCTTGCTACTACTCTTGTCCTTTTCCCCTGTCCAAATTGTCATACTGATACAGCTGAGTTGTGGCTGTTATGTACAGCTTTGTGTGGGACTGTCCTTGTTCTCTGCCTGTGGCCAGTGTGCTGACAGCTGTATGGTGAGTTGACTTTCCCTCACATCTCTCAAAGACAACAATGAATGCTACTAAACAAATCTAACCCTCTCTGACACACACACACACATGCACACCCCCCACAATCACCGTTGTATGATGAATTTTTGCCCAGGCTTCATAGGTAAATAAGTGTTTCCTGTTCTTTCTCTCCATTCTAGGATGTGTGTCTACCTTTTGCTAACAACACTTTAGACTCTCCACTGGGGTGGGGGCTTGACACACCAGACACTTGTGCTCTGGTTGTTGCCTTTGCACATCTCATTGGGGGTATACTGTGTCACATGCTTGGGTATGTCATCCATCCCCGCAGCTATTCCTACTTCTCCTGTCCTCCAGCTCACTATGGTAGAGATACTAGGAGCTGTAGTATCTTACGCTACAGTTTTCCCACAACTGAATGGAAGGCAGATGGCAAGTAAGAGAGGCAAGAAGGAAACGCGTGTCAGAACTTCTACTATTTCTAGTATTTAGTACTATGTAGGAGTCTTGCTCAGAATTTTTTTTCCCCATCAGACCATTCCTCTCAAAATCCAGCCTTTTCCACTTGTTTGTTATCACCAACAAAACACAGGCATGGAAAACTCCACTAGCCTAATTATTTAATCTCTCTGCTTTAAAGCCCACCTGAGTTCTTCATCCTTTTACAGATTTACATCAACCTACACTTCTTCTAACCAAACCAAGACCTCACTTTTCATGGGTATAACAGTGAATCAGTGAGCATTAAAAATGGGTGAAAGACCCTTTTTTCCCTAACAGAAGGCTCATTCCTAAAGCTTTGGAAACTTCTCTGGGGTTGCTTCAG